TCAAAATGATCCATAACTTACAATAGATTGTAAATGAAACAAAGATCTTGTGTTTGGTCAAGATTAGGTCAAACTTCCACTTGAATTGAATCATGAATGAATGGCCATTGAAGCAATATCAACACACTTGACTTGAAACAGTAATCCTTCCTTGGTAGCTCCCTTGCAAATCCTAATCCACACAAAGAAAGAAATGGAAGCCAATGCATGTATTTTGTATACACAATGGTTAGGTGACATGCTAATGAATGACAAGAATGAATAAACAAAAGTCGTAAGCATAAGAACAAAGATACCATGATAGAAGACAAAGGGGACCTTGGTGAAAACTTGGAAAGCAGCTAAATGAAATAGTCATATGCACACCAATGAGTGTAATACTATGTAGGTAGGACAAAATTGGGGTATGACAGTTGCCCATATCTAATTGCCTTAAACTCGAGATGATGAACTGTCACAAGGTTCATTTTTAGGGCAAAAGTCAATTAGATACAAGAAAATTCCAAAATTTGTCCTCCAAAAAGTAGAAATGTAATGCAAGGATGAAATACAGGGAGATAGAAATATAACAGCAGATCGTGATTTTGAATAAAACACATGAGATTTTCTAAATCAACGAAGCAATATCTTACATGATATAATCGTGAAATTTCAACAAGGGAACAATACCTTAATCATATCTTAAGACTCTCTGAGGACACGTAGAGCAGTATCTCAAGCAACAAATGAGATTCTCCGAATCAACAAAGCAATGTCTCAAACAACAAATGAGATATCTCTGGATCAACAAAGCAGTATCTTATAAATTAATACTCTTCGAGGATACTTAGAGTAGTATCTCAAGCAACAAATGAGATTATTCAAATCAACGAAGCATTATCTCAAACAACAAATGAGATTTATGTGAATCAACGAAGCAGTATCTTATAAATTAAGACTCTTCAAGGATGCTTAGAGCAATATCTCAAGCAACAACTGATATTTTTCGAATCAACGGAGCAATATCTCAATAACAAATGAGATATCTCTGGATCAACGAAGCAATATCTTATGAATTAAGACTCTTTAAGGATACTTAAAGCAGTATCTCAAGCAACAACTTAGATTCTTTGAATCAACGAAGCAGTATCTCAATAACAAATGAGATTCTCCGAATCGACGAAGCAATATCTTATAAATTAAGACTCTTTAAGGATACTAGAGCAGTAAAGAAACCTCTGGTGTTGCAGATTGACAATAAGTCAGCCATCAATCTTGCAAAGAATCCAGTTCTGCATGGAAAGAGTAAGCACATTTAGACTATATTTCACTTCCTAAGGGAGAAGGTAAATCAACGTGAACTTGAAGTGAGACATTGATCGAGTGAAAACACAGTTGACATACATTTTCACCAAAAAACTAAAGATCGACAAATTCCTAAATTTAAAAAAGAAATTAGGAATAGTTTAGATTGATTAGATCGTGGTTATTAACCTGAATTATAAAGGGGTATTTTGTAATATAATCCAAGTTAGTTAGTTACTTTGTTAGCAAGTTAGTTAGTTTTTTATGCTAACTATTTGAGTTACAAGTAACCTATTGTATATAAATACATGTAAAATGTAATTAATTTTATTTATTCAATACAATTACTTTTCATTCTCTCAATATCTTCTGGCTCATTCCTTCCCCACCCAAAGTTCTTCAACACTAACAATTGTTTCTGATGCACTTATGTCTCATGAGTTTAATCTAATACAACGTTATACATTCATCGTGAACTCATATGCTACACAACAAGTAATATGTGGTTGTTTCTTGGTTGCTTTCAGATATGTAAATTAATATATGTAATCTAGGGGAAACCGTTGGAAGGATTATAACCATACATATTACATGAGTCATTTCACACATTACACAAACAACCATACCTTATTTATTTATATAAACCAAGAAACTACCAAGTATAACTACACATCATACACCTATGTAAGCCCTAATATATTGTAGAGTAACTACAACCATTTACTACACATCATTATACAAATATTCAACCAATTTGTAACTCAAATCTAGTTTATAATCGAATGGGAAAAAACCTTACCTTAAAAATTTTTGTTCTCAACCGCATTTAAAGATCACTGCACGCAAGATCCTATATTTAACATTCTTTTAGATATTAATTCGAGTCCATATATAAAAAAATTTCCTCTCTTGACTCTTCATTTTTCAATCGTTTCATTTTCGATAATTTATGAATAAAAATTTAAAATAGAATATTAATATACACTACATATTTCAATTTTGAAATTAGGTTAAAGAAGCTTACCCCTAAACAAAACTAAACTCGAGGAGAAAATTGATTATGTTCACCTGCTCGTTTTGGCGTTAGTTTCGCTTAAATCGGAGTTATAGTTATGAATTTACGAATAAAATGTCGATGTTTAACTGACAAAATGACATTTTTAACGAAATAAAAGAATAGATGAAAACTAAAATAAATATAAAAACTTAACTAATTAATTAATAAAAGTAACATACTGAAATTTGAGACAAAACGAAAAAACTTTTTTTTCGACGACTTATTTAATTCCAAAAAGAAATTTATTTTTCCTCTATACACAATTATCGATGAATTTGCTATTCCCGATCACTGTAGCTAGAGGTGAGAATAGGTCAGACCGACTAACATGGGCCTACAGCCTAGCCTACATAGGCTAAGGTCAGACCAAACTTTTTTTTCTAGTATAAAAGGCCTAGGCTTTCTTATAAGTCTATTTAATTAAATAGGCCAGACAACATGCCGTAAAAAAAACATTTTAAGCCTATTAGACCGGCCTATTTTAATAAATATAAATAAATAAATTATTTTTATATATTTTATTTTGTATTTTATATTAAAATACAAAAGTAAAGTTTAGTTATCTTGAAGTAATTGTGAATATAAGTTGAAAAAACATTACAAATATGGCATAAGTTGTTTTCACAAGTTCTTCTAAATAAATAATCTCACAAAACTTATGTTTTTATGTAAGCTCAAATAAGTCTATGTAAACAAGCATTTAGCCTCATTGTGCTTTTGATTCTCTACTATATATAAACATTAGTTGAATTGTTTATTTACATATGTTCAAATGATATAGGCTTTTTAAGTAGGATAATTGGCTAATCAGACCTTTTAAAAGGTTAGATTCATGCCAAAAAATGAGTCTTTAGTAGGTCATAGGTCAGACTTAAACTTTTATATTTTTAATAGGTCAGACTTAGAAAAGCCTATTTGCCTCAGTCTATATCCACCCCAAAATGTAGCGTGTAGGTTTTTGATGAAAAATAGTTATTTTTTTTTCCTTTTTCTTTTACTAGGTAAGTTTGTCGTGCATTGCATGAATTTTACCTCAAGTATTATTTATATATGAAAAATAATTTTTTAGTAAGTATAATTATATATAATATAATTGATAAACATTAAATATATTTTAGTATTATATTAAATATAAAAAAGTATTTAGAAATATGAGAATTCATATTAGTTCATATTATAATTTTATTTAATCATTTTAGTTGTATTTTTTAAATTGAAAATAAATGTCATATTTTCAAAAATAATGTAACATTATTAAAAAATTAAATTATTTTTATATATTAGTTTTCATTAATAATTGAACTCATTATATATATATATATATATATATATATATATATATATATATATATATATATATATATATATATATATATATATATATATATATATATATATATATATATATATATATATATATATATATATATATATATATATATATATATATATATATATATATATATATATATATATATATATATATATATATATATATATATATATATATATATATATATATATATATATATATATATATATATATATATATATATATATATATATATATATATATATATATATATATATATATATATATATATATATATATATATATATATATATATATATATATATATATATATATATATATATATATATATATATATATATATATATATATATATATATATATATATATATATATATATATATATATATATATATATATGAAGGTAGATCAATTTATATTTTAATTATTTATTTAGGGTTTAGTCTAAAATTTAATAAACCTAAGAAATATCTTAAATTTATAATTATTATTATTATTATTATTATTATTGTTATTATTATTGTTGTTTGTAAATGTTGTTTTATAATTTTATTTATATTAAGTTTAAAGGATAAATATGATAGTTATGTTTTTAAATAGTTATGTGATTTAAGAAAGCACTTGGAGGTTATAATATTAAATGACATTATTATTATTGTTATTATTGATTCAATTTAATAAATTTTTATTACATAATCAACATATCAATGAAAATAGAATGAAGATTCATTTTAGTCCCCCACAAAAACTGCATAAATCCGAATTAATCTTTGAAAAAGATTCTCTATTTAAACTCTTACAAAATTAAACCAAATCTAGGGCTGGACAAATATATACCAACCGATGGTAACTGTCCGAGCCTAACCATATATTTGACATTCGGTCGGGTTTAAGCGGTTATTGGGTTGGGTCAGATGGTTAATTTGGATATATTAGGATTCAAACGGTTCGGTTCGGAGGGTTATTTTGAGTCCATCGGAAACCGAACCCGACCGTCATATTTTATTTTTTAATTATTATCTATATTTATATTATTAATTAACATAATATTGGGCTTAGCCCAAGAATTGTCACTCTTCTCTCTCTTAACCTCAGTCTCAAAGAACCCTAATTTCATTCTCCCTCACTCCATCTTCATTCATTCTCTCTTGTCCCTGCTGCCGCTTCATCAACCATCATCGTATCATTTCATCGTTACCTCTTCCTCGCAACACCTTCGCCTCCGTTTCTCATGTTGGTCTCACCGTCCATTTATCTTCACCTGTCTCCTTCATGTTTTGATTTGTTCTTAGCTTTTGAAGTGATTTGATGTTTCAAGATGTGGATCTACCACTTTGAAGGCATGATATCCCTTTCCTTAAAGTTGAAAAAAGTGAGATAAGTAGTTAACAATACTACCTCTTTTTTCTTGGAAATAGCAGCTTTGGTAGAGATATGGTCGAGAAGGTCATCAGCAACATATAGAGCGTCTTTGAGATCATCAAGCCATTTGTTAATAGTAGAATCTTTGATCTGTTTGTGTTCAGCATCATTAAGCACAACTTCAACAGCAAAAAAGTGTTGTTCAACCAAATTGACGTCAAGTTTCTTTCCTATGATAAAGTTAGCAACTTGAGGAGAAGTAAGCTTGTCGAGAACAACTTCAATGAAAGCAGACAAAAATGCTTCACTAATAGCTGCCACCGCCATGAAGTTGGAATGGAAGAGAGGAAAACAAAAAATAATTTTAGCTGAATGAATTAAGGTCAAGTGGTTTGGTTGCTTTACTCTAAAATTGGTTTTTTTTGGTCAAAATTATTAATTGAATTGTTATTAATTGCTTTCCTAATTACTAATTTCTTAATAATAATTAAAAAAATTAGAAAAAAATTAGAAAAAAATATATTGAATTTTCAATTTGGACAAAATTTTGTAATGGCCCAATTATAAATGAAAACCGAAACAAACCGATTAAGTTACCCAAACCCTTTTTAAACCGAATCCGAAAAAACCGATAATTAAACTGATCGGAATTGGGTTGTTATATGCCACCCGAGGGTTGGGCCGGATTGGGGTTTTGGGCCCGAATCCGAACCTACCCGAACCGATGTCCACCCCTAACCAAATCATATTAGTCCCTAAATCATTTGACCTATTTTACCATACCTACTACTCAAACCCCAAGATTGATGGGGAAAATAGTTAACCACCGGATATTGTGCCTTTAGTTATATGATTTTCAATTTCATATTAAATATATATAAATACTATCTCATTTTTTTTGAGATATTACAAATAAATTACTATTGAAATGTGTTTAGATTTAATTTTTAAATTCATATAGACATGAGTGATTTTTTAATATCATCCAAATATATTTTAGTAAATTAATTTAATGTAATATTATTTATACATGTGAATTTTATATGTATACATATAATGTGTTAATAAATATACATATCCATTTGTCGCACCTCAAAAATTCATTCGGACATACGACCATCGCGGGAAAGGCGCGAAATGCGGTTCGACAGAGTCGCCACCAAACTTTATTTATCCCGAAGAGACGGAAAAGGAAAATATCGAGAAAACCTTTTAAAAGACGGATAAGAACGATGGTCGTTGCAACCAATGTTCCGGGTTCGGGAGTCAGTTACGCAAGGAAAAGGTATTAGCACCCCTCACGTCCGTTGTACTTATCGAGAACCTCTTAGTTCGAATTGTGATGAACGTTAGCTAAGCTTAGTTGTTTTCTTCTCAATGATAAATGTGAATCGGTAGAATAAAAGGATAACGATGCTAGGGAAAAATGGGTGGTTATAGGATAGGGTGCTCGCCAAGGATTGGGACCCTTGTGCCTACGTATGCTCATTTGGACGAGAATGAGAAATCAGAGCTTCGTAGTTCGACTACGGGAAAGGATAGGGGGAAACAGAAGATGGATAGAAGGTAGCTCGCCAAGATCATCGCAATCTTGTGCCTACGTATCTTACATTTAGACGAGAATGAAGAATTAGAGCGTCCGTAGTTTGTGGGCACGGTCATGAAAAGAGAGGGGTTGAATGGTTGAAGTTTGGTACGGATGACGACTACTCGAAGCTTAAAAAAGGCTCATCGTGCCCAAGTAATCGGGAGAATGAGTCAAAGGTGTGACTCTCTCTCTTTTTTATCTGGAAAAGAAGTTGTGTTTGAATGGTGTTTTGGATAATGAGTGGTTGGAAGATGGTTTGAAAGTTGTCGAGTTGGAAATATTTTAGAGGCGTCAATTGCTCACACACGAGTAAGATAACTCGCACCCAAACAACTGAAGAGAGATCAAAGGTTAAATCCCTCTCTTTTCACCTTGAAAAGAGTTAGATAATTGTTAAATTTTTTGATAGTTTGATTGAGAAAATCCACTTGACGTTGGATCAAGGGTTTGACTTATATTTGCATGCAAAACCGTGGTGGAATGGAAGTTGGTTTGAAAATGGCTCGATGGCGAGTTGAGGGTTTGGTTATAAATGGAACCGGCTTGACGACGAATCAAGGGTTAGGTTATGAGAAACGATATTAGTCCCTGAGGATGCTCCTAATAACGAAACTATGATGAAATGTGAAAGTATATGCGATAGGTTGATGGCGAATGCGTATGATCACTTGACTTGCGAGAGGTGTTTGAAAATGACTTGATGATGAGTCGATAATTTGTTTGAAAACAATTTAGTTTACGCTAGTCCCTAAGGGTGCTCCTAGAAGAAAAACCATAATCAAAGCAAAACGAATGCGTACATCGAAATGGGAGAGGAGTACATGTAAGTTACACAGGTGTCATACCCCAAATTTTACACTTAGATCACTGATCATTTTGCATTTCATTTTGTTCCATATTTCGTTTTAACTAACCGCTAACTGGTTTTGTCCAGTTGTTCATTTTGCAGGTGTGTGGAGAAAGCCGAAAAATATTACTGTGTGCGCTTTTAATTCATGAAGTGCAGGAGTATCGTTGGTTCACAATCTGTTGACGATTACAAGGCCAATTCATTTTCAGAGGATTCCCCAAGCGACTAGGGTTTCCTATTTATCTATTCACATGACACTTGGTTTGAGACTGGTTCAGATTTCTATGACAGTATTGACGTCAGATTCTTCTTGATACGGTCCATCCTAATTCGAGAACCGGGATTTAGTCGTCAGTCGGGTTTTGGAATGTTGTTTAATTTATAAACTGTATTGATTTGAGGGCGTTAAAACATGAATGGATTTGGATTTGAATCGGTGTGAGAATTATTCAAAAGGAAAGTAATCTAAACAAGTTCGAGCACACGTTCATTTTTCTTTTTATGCTGGTTACGAGTCATATTTTAAAGGCGCAGTGGAATTTCGGTTTGCATTGAGTTCATAATAAATATCAGTTGGCTTGATCGCGAGTATTAGTCGAATCGATTCAGGTTACAATGTCAGGTTACTCGAGATACAATTTGGATTTAAATGCGGAGGAAAGTTCGTTTTTGCCACTAAAATGGATTTATCTGTTTATCTATTCAAGGCCATATTCACCGATTTTTATTACCGAGTACGGGTTAATTCTTTCAAGGCTCGGTGGAACTCATAATTTGCATCAGACGTCAGTTAATTCTAAGTTTGTGCAAGCCGTTAGTTGCCGAGTTTCGAATTGTGAAATGTCGAGTTTTATTCAGATGGATTTGAGTCAGAAAATAAGAACTCATTTTATTAAGGACGTGATTTAATTTATTTTTCAAATTTTGTACAAATTCTGATTACAACAATATTCGGAATATTTAGATTTTTGAAAATTACAAATTAAATCCTAAAATCCTAAAATTGTCTTAAACGATCTAACTCCGAAGTTCTTCATATCCGATTCTTCATCATCTCTAAACTTCTGAACCTGCAAAACCAGACAACATCAGAGAAAAACAATTGTCAGTTGGAAGAGTTTAATCGAAAGAGAGTTTATTATTTTCGGACCCTCAGAGCACATTCATCATTGGGTCCGAGAGGGGCAACAAGTGATGCCGCCAAACCCCCCGCTTTCCGTTTCCGACCTCGGCAAAAATTCGATAAAAGTCTGTTCAAGGCGTCCAGAGAGAGAGAGAGAAAAAGAGATTATTTGGAAAAGTGACTTTGTAGCCATACAGATCCTTAAGGAAATCCAAACCAAATCATATCCAGACACAAAAATCCAGCAAGCCAAATCCGAATATCCAAAAATCCAGCAAGCAAAAAAATCTGGATTCATAATCCGTATCAGAATCTGGATTTCACAAAATCCATATCCAAAACATCAGAAACAAAATAAAATCTAGATTGTATCAAAAAACGAAACAAAATCCGGAAATCAGTAAGCAAGGACTGTGAATCCGAGAAATCATATATCATCATAACAAATCCGTGGATCCTCAGTGGTTTCAAAACCAAAACCAAAACAGAAAAATAACGTAAAACATAGGATATCACAAATCCAGGCCCAAAATATCAAAGAAGAACAATATAAAACATCAGAAGAAGTTCATCATAAGGGGATGGATTTGAAAAACCCTAAGAGAACAATATCAAGGGACGGCGGCCAGAACCCTAAGATCCAAATCATCACCAACATTCATCAAGCCCTTGCAACCGTGAATCAAAACCCTAAAAATCCTCAGCATAAAAATCATCAGACATCAGTGAAAAAAGGATCCGCGACCGTTAATCATAAAAAACAAATGGATTTTTGGAAACCCTAAAAGGTCATCATCACCAATCATTCAACTGCGGCTGAGAACAGCTCAACAAAATCACCCGTCAAGCGGCCAGAACCCTAAAATAATTATCATCATCGGTCATTCAGCAACATCCGTGAAAAAAATCACAGACGAGCATCACCATCAGGACGGCCGTAAAACCATCAAGGAGACCCACGGCGAATCAAAATCGAAAACCCCGACCTCAGTTTATAACATCACCGGCCCGAAAACGGATAAAGCACCTAACATCCATCACCGTGAAACCGCTCCAAACCCCAAAAGGGTGAGCAATTTTTCCTTTAACATAATGCTTTGATCTTTTGCAGAAACCATCACGAAAAGAAGAAGAAAAAATACTCATGCAAGACGAAGAAGAATGAAAATCGCGGCCATGGAAGTGAAAAGAGACAAATAGAGAGAAACGGCGGACAACATGAAGGAGTTGGGGGGGGGGGGGGAAGTCTAAAATTAGGGTTTCTGGTTTTTTATGTTTTTATATTACAAATTAATTCTGTATATGCACACACACCGTATTACCATGCGCACTCACAATCACAACCACACATCCCTTCATATTTTTTAATCACACGCCTTATACATGCAGGACCACCGTGAACCATCACCCAGGGTCCACACCAGTTCATACGGACCCCCCCTCATTTTACCCTTTCATTTTTCATTTTTTTATTTATTTTTAAATTTTGATTAACTAAAAATTAAATCTTTTTTAAAAATTAAAATAAACACTTTTTAAAAAAATAATAATAAATCTAACACTTTTTAAAATAAATAAAAACAAACCTTTTCTTCTTTAAATAAATTCTAACCCTTTCTCTTAATCAAAATCCTAACTTTTTTAATTAAAATTTTAACTTTTTTATTTTTAAAATCTCTAAATTCTTTTCTCATTAAAATTTGTAAATTTGTTATTTTTAAATTCTAATTTCTTAATTTAACCCTAATCTTCTTTTCTATCACATT